CTATGAATATAATTGGCAGCATTAAAGTAATTATATAAGGGATAATTGCAGCAAAAGCTTCAAACCTTTAAAACACTAGTAGACTTTCGCAAAACCTTTAATTTGTTATAGTTGTCACCCTTAACCTTTCTAAACGTTGTAGGTAAGACTCTTTTGGAAAGTTTCCATCCAAGATACCTTTAGTTGACCACCAATATTAGGTTTGACTACAATTTTAACATTTTAAAGAGGGCAAAATAGTTTTTTATTTTATTTTATTTTATATATATTTGTATATAAAACAATCAAAATAAAAAAACAAAGAAAAGGAAAAAGTTGAATCTTCTTCCCCAAACACCTCAACCCCATGCAGCCACCATCGCATTCGCACACTGGGCACTTACATTTTTACCACCGTTGACTCCAAATCATCGACAACTTCTTTTAGGTAAAATTCAACTCCAAACAACTTCTTCATTGTCATTTTGACCATCACGGACTCTTCCAATATGTAGCCAATCTTTGCACCAATACCAACTTTGTTGTTGCCCACCTAATCACAGACGCTAAATTCTTCAAACTCAGCCACCGACATAACCACCCAATCACACTTGTCATCTCATCTTTCTCAAATCCATTGCCCGACTACATGACACCAACATTGTGACACCATCATTATCGTTGATCATCATTATTGTGACCACCATCATGACAGTTTTCTTCTCCACACCAACCCACGATCATCTTATCCCTAATTAAAGCCCTAACATAGTTTTCTTCTCCATACTAACACGTGCTAAAAATACAGAAGGTGAACAGACGATCAATGATGATATAAATCCCAAATAAACACAAGAGTTGTTCAAATTAAATTAAGAATTGATTTTCCCCTTATGTTGGCATTGTCAATCTGAATTTTTTGGTTGTTTTGCCATGAATTATTAGTCTTTTTGCTTCCTTTTCCCGTCTTAGACTTTAACCAAATTCTACAATGGGTTCTTCTTTATCTAATTCTTTATGTTTCTCCACGTCTATGGTGGGTTGTGGTGGCCGATGAGTGGTGGACAATGGGTAAAGATGTTCTAATTTTGGAGGTGGGGATGGAGGTGTTTGTGTTTGGGGAAGAAGATTCAATTTTTGTCTTTTTCTTTTTAAATTATTTAATATAAAAATATATAAAAAAAACTATTTTACCCTCTTTAAAATGTTGAAATTGTAGTCAAACTTAATTTTAGCGGTCAACTAATGGCATTTTGGATGGAAATCATCCAAAAGGGTCTCACTTGTGACGTTGAAAAAGTTAGAGGTGAAGACTATAATAAATTAAAACTTTAGAGAAAGTTAGTTAATATTTTAAAAGTTTGAAACTTTTGTAGCAATTATCCCACTATATAAAGATACGTATGTATAGTCGGATACCCTTCAATCATTCTCAACAGTTTTGCTTTCTTGGACCATTTGTTTTATGGTTTCATTTCTGATTCTCTATCTAAAACATTTACTGCTGCTGGTGTTCCGGCGGGAGAGAAGGAAGTGAAAGAGTAGAAGAAATCAATTCCCCTGCTTCTACGAAACTGTTTTTTAAGTGTTCATTTTCATCTATTGTTAACGTGTTCATTTATTAATCGCTACAGCAATTTCTCTCCCCACCAAGACAGATTTTTTCCTTGCACTTACTCTCTCTTTCTTAAGCTTTTTTGGCAGTTATTCATATTCTTCAATCTTCATCTCTCTTATGAGGTACCTCTCTCTGTCTCTGTCTCTGTCTCTCTCCCTCTCCCAGAAATCAATTCCCCTGCTTCTACGAAACTGTTTTTTAAGTGTTCATTTTCATCTATTGTTAACGTGTTCATTTATTAATCGCTACAGCAATTTCTCTCCCCACCAAGACAGATTTTTTCCTTGCACTTACTCTCTCTTTCTTAAGCTTTTTTGGCAGTTATTCATATTCTTCAATCTTCATCTCTCTTATGAGGTACCTCTCTCTGTCTCTGTCTCTGTCTCTCTCCCTCTCCGGTTTTCAGAATTTTGTCCTTTTCTGTTCATTGTAAAATTGAGGTGATTTTTCTTAGAATCTTAGTTAAATTCGTTTTTTTGGCTTTAAGAAATGGGTTTGGGTGCAAAATTCTAAATTGGGTTGATTTTATTGTAAGTTATAAATTTTTGTGGTATTATTAATGCTCTGTCCTTTTCTTCTATTTTTGTTTATCTTTTGCTTGTGGTGGAGTAGAAGTGCTAAATTCGAGTGGGTTTTATGATTTTTCTGTTGTTTGTGTGATTAGGTGGCCTGTCAATTTTTAGTTGATTTTATCTAATCTTGGGTTCTGGTTTGGGTTGACTAAAGATAAAAATTTTGAGTCGATCAGTACTATTTTGTTTTCAATTAATCCATTTTCTATTTGAGAATCAAAATAACTGAATTTTTAGTTGATCAGAAGCTGAGTATTTTGGATAATTATTTATGTTTTAATTTTTGGTTTATGCATTAACTTTTATTTCCTGTTTTGTGGTAGATTCTAGGGATCATTTCTTTATTTGACATGCCTTGTGGTGGGAGTGGAGTTCACTATATTTTTCAATTTCTTAACTCAATATTCAATTAGTTAATATATTTGGGTCATTTCTTAATTTTGTAAACAGGGGAAGTTGGCGTCCCAATGTATTATAGAAGTAGGTAATTGAGTTTGTTGTGTATACATATGCCTATGCCTATGCGTATGCGTCTATGTTTTTTCTTTTTAACTGAGCTTTTTTTAGAATGATTATTTTTTTCCTTTAAAAATCGAATTTACGAAATTTCTTACTATTGTGTTTCATTTGCTGTTTTTCTTGGTTTATTCAAGCTTTTAAACTCTGGATGGCATTTTAGATTCTCATCCTCCTCTTTGATTACAGGTTGATCAGATAGTTTATATTCGTTGTTTAAGGTACAGTTTTTTGAGTAATTTTCAATGGAGAACAATTAGTTTGCTCTTTACAGATGCGTTGCTTAAGCGTTTCCTTCTTGCCAATATAAATAGTTTATGGGATCTATTGATGGACTTGCCAACCTTAATTCAAAAATGTATTGATATGCTTTCTTACATGCTTTTCTCTTCAGGAAGTGATTCAATGGATAAACATTTGGGTAATTCAATTACCGGAAATTTTGAAGGTTACTCTTTTTCGTCACAATTTATGAATTATCAAATCTTTGATGATTAATACGTCAAAGCACATTGTCATGAGCACTTTTGAGAAACATATTCCCCTATAACTTGATTATTTTACCCTTTTTTGTAGGCCCATCTAAAATTTCATTTGCTAACATCCCAGGAAAAGAGAAAAGTGCATGGGGAATCCCCCTTGGAACTGATGCACATTATACATCAAGTGATGCTAGTTTGTTTTCTAGCTCATTGCCTGTCCTTCCGCATGAGAAGCGTAAGCATGAGCAAGGAGTTTCTTTCCAAATAGGTGTGTTTGGTTACTTCGAAACGATTTCTTAGATTTCTTTCCTTTCACGTGCAGTAAATTTTAATGACTCTGATCAAAGTCGTCAATCAGTTGATGATGGCTTCTCTAGAATAAAGAAAACATATTTAGAAGATGAAAATAAGGACCCACTTGAAGATATTGAACTGACTCCAACAGGAAGCTTTCTTCCTGGTGATGCAGATGAGCTCTTAGCTGGCCTTATGGATGATTTTGATCTTAATGGGTTGCCTACTCAGCTCGAGGACTTGGATGATGATTTCTTCGGAAGTGGAGGGGGATTAGAAATAGAGCCCGTGCTTCAAGAGAATCTTGGAAATGGTGCGTTGAGGTTAAGCACGTCTGATGGTATTAGTGGTAGCAATATAGCTCATTTTGGGTTTACAAATATTGTTGGGGCTGTTAGCGGCGAACACCCCTATGGAGAGCATCCTTCAAGGACATTATTTGTTCGGAATATCAATAGTAATGTAGAGGACTCTGAATTGAGGTCTCTCTTCGAGGTATAAATCATAAACTGGATTAGTAATTCTTAAATCTGTAAGCATACGATCTTTTGGCTGCTTACATAGCCTAGTCAATATTCTCACCCTTATTTTTTTCCTTTCTATTTACCCTTTTTACAATATAACTTTGTGTATTTTGCTTGATGGCTTATGATACTTGAAGCTAACTGTCCAATACTTAGTTTACTTTGTTTATTATATTTAAGGTTGTTTTTTTTTTAATGGTCGTGTGACGCTTTCTGCAGGCAATTGTGTTCGTCATTATTTTCAATTCAGATTCTGACTTGCAGAACACGCTATTATTATTAGAACCACCAACCAAATTATGTATTAACATTGAGAATGTTGGTTGTGCTTCTCTAAATAAGCTTTACACGAACTAGGTTTTCTCATAGTTGTACAGCCTAAATTGTGTAAGTTTTTGCTGATGCATCACTACAATCCCTATAGGATATTTCCTCCCGAGTTCAGTTGAAGATGAATTTATTTTTTTGTTATTTCTTTATTTTTTATGTTTACCCGTGAGTGAGTTACACAAATTATGACAAAATAATTGTTAAATTTTGGATTTGATCTCCTAAATAACTTGTCGATATAAAGGATGACGTGTTGCTGCGAACTTAAAAATTAGAGTTAAAGCTTGTCTGGGGAAATGCATATAAACAATTTAAATTGTAGATAGATTGAAATGAGTTGTGGATAAGTGGGTAGTACTTGTGAAACCCTTAAAATGTTTGGATAATTAAATAATTAGTGGTTCAATTATATTTCTGACCAAGAGAAAAATCAAATTGCTTAGAGCTAATCCTTCTCTGTTAATGAAGCTAATCAATTCTCCATACGAAAGACCATTAATAAACATTAGCCAAACATAGGCTTAGATAGTTCTCATGTACTTGATTTCATCTAATCTTCATCCAAGCCTTGTCAACCCAGAATTATTGGATTCAGATGATGAACTTGCAGATTTAGCTCCAATAATATGTTCTTGGTGGTATATTTATCTGTTTCAGACTGTTCTC